GGACTTTTTCTACAGCCCATCACTTCAGGGAGCTCTGAGAGCCTGGCTGTGCTACCAAACAAAAGGCACATAGTTCAAACATACCAGCTGCTCCACAGGAGAAAGATGGTTAAATTCCTCTTGTGTGGTTTGTTATTTTTATGTTCCATCAAGTCACCTGTGACTTATAGTGACCCTGTGTACAATAGTTCTGAACTCTGACACACATCCCCCATTACCTCAGTTACCCGCTGAAGGGTAACAGCTACAAGTCTGTTCTGACTTGAAGGTTATTGTTGTTTTTAAGTGCTATTGAGATGAATGTGACTCATACAGATGCTATGAACAACAGATCTGAACTATGTCCTATCCTGTGCCATTCTCTTCATCCTTAACACACATGAGTCCAGTGCCACAACTGGCATATCAATCCATCTCTACATCTTTCAAATCATGATGTCCCTTTCCATGGAACCGCCTTCTCTAACAACATGCCCAAAGTAAGTGATACAAAGTTTCACCAAACTTTCCTGAAAAAACACCAGTTTAACTTGCTCCAAGATATGTCTTTTGGCAGCCCATGGGATATTTAATACTCTTCTCCAACATCACAACTCAGAGACAAGAATTCTTCTCCTTTGATCCTTATTCATTATCCAGCTCTCAGATGCATAGCAGGTGATTGATAACATTGATCTTCAGACTTTGGAGAAGTTCTTGACAACAGACTTTCTCAATTCAATATGTCTTCAGATCTCCTAACTTCTGAAGAGCTGACTGTGGATCCAAACAAAATGATACTGTTTACATTTTCAGTCTTCTCTCCGTCCATCATGGTGTTGTCCATTGGCCCAGTGCTGAGGATTTTTGTTTCTTAACTTTGAGATGTAATCCATATTGATAGCTATAGTTTAACTTTACTCGATGGTAGATCCAAACACTCATTTCAAGGGGCCAGTCCTCTTTGCTACCTAATTTATCTTAGTCTGGAGGCTCTACTGAATCTGTTCCTGGGAATGACCTTGCCGATATTTAAAATCATAGTGGTGCAACTTCCAGCATCACAGCATCTTATAAGCCACCACCTTATGATAAAGTTATAGACAAGTGATAACTTCCTTATATATCATCACTTAGTTCCTTCTCGGGTAGCCCCAGGGCCTAATCACACTGTGTTTTGTTAATCAATTTACTTTATATCCTTAATCCTATTATTATATCTTGCTTCATGAAAACTAGGATGATTCTTTGTAGAAAATGTGGAAGTTCTTGCACCCTTCAGAGTTTTAGAACTTTCTTACCTGTGGTTTTAGAAAATCAAACGGCTTCCTTAATGATCTTTACCATGTCATGAATATTTTTTATTAATATATTTAGTCTTTTGGTGGTAATCCTGAAACATGCTTTCCTATAAGTTTTCAATTGCTTACTTACCAAGTTATTATACCCAAGAAAATGGGATTTAAGTTGCTTAAAACGTCAATATTAATCAGATTCTATTATCAGCCCTAATTTATTACTCCACTGCGGGGATAAAAAAACTTTGCCTAAGTAATATGATCTTTGTCCTTGATCCTCAAACTTTTGCAATGACCTGAGTAATTAAGGAGCTTCTGTTATCTATAGAGAGCTCTGATAGTGTTGTTGTTGTTCTTGTGTGTCATCAGGTGGGGACCAATCCATAGCTGACTCTCCAGCATGTTTTCAGAGATAGGTAATGGCATGGGTGACACTGCCCAGCCTTCTCCTGCAGTGCTGCTAGTGGATTAAAACTGAGCCTTTGAGATTGAAGTGCAGGTTCTTGAACTACCAGAGCTCCCTTGTAAATATTTACAGCTTTGAAAATCTGATCAGGAGAGCTCTATGAATTGAAATAGCCTCAAAGGTAATGAGTTTTCTGTTTGTTTATTCTCTATAGGCTTCCAAACCACTAATTAATTGATCCAGATGTGGGCTGGTCACCCAGAAAGACCATCTTGTGATATCAATAATCTCAGGTGAAGGGAAGTAAAGCAATATGTTATGACTCTATAATGAGATTGCAGTAAAGGCTCTGGACATGGAAGTCCCATGGCTTTCCAGGTTCCTGAAAAACACTGATGCATTTGGAAAGATACATTTCTTTCTTTAACAAAAAGGCTTTGCATTGGAAACCCTCCCAGACCTGGTATTATGTATGAGTCTCTTCATTTGTATACATTTTTTGGTACTAAAACTACAATCATAAATAGGGCAATGTGAGTTATCTGAGTCTTTCTAGCAAATTATCTAATCAAAGTAGTAGTCATTGTTGTTGCACTGTCACCTGCCATTGAGTTGTAATCAAACCATAACTGATCCTCTGATCCTCTAGGTAGTAAATTGAACAGAGGTTCCTGTCCATTCTTCCACAGAGCAGCTGGTGAATTCTAATCACTTGGTTTTAAGATGACAGCTTTTTACCATTGGGACACCATAAGAGAGGCCAGGAATCTCTGAACGTCAGCTTATAACTCCAGATATGAAACTCATATTAACTGCTATCCAGTAGATTCTGACCCAAAGTGACCCTTCCTCAGGTTTCTGAGGCTAAAAATTATAATGGGGAGAGACAGCCCGTTCATTATTCCACAGAGGAGCAGCTGGTAGATTCAAACTGTTTTGGGGTCAGCTGTACAATACACTAAGGAAAAATCCACCAGAGTTCCTTTTGGTGGATAATACTGAGGGGTTAAATGTCACCCTTGAGTGAATAGCTAATGGATAAGTTATAGTATGGCAGAAATGAGTAATAGCCAGCTAGCACCCAGAAATGTCAGTGAGAAAACCTCCAGTGTACAGCCAGAAGTCCAGAAGTGAGGTTAAGAGGATCCCTAACCTTGCAGCAGGCGGGGGCAGGCCTGTCAGTCTGGAGGTGTGTGTTCTTTAACTTGTGAGAGCTGACCTAGTTCCAGGTGGTTATGTTCACAGGCAGATGTGACGCACGAGCAGCTGGCATTAAAACAGAACTAGCAAAAAACAGAATTTGAGTTTTTCCACACACCTGCACTTAGGCTTCAAAAAAAAACACCAAACAAACAAACCCCAACTATTTGACAGCAACAATTTTTCTACTTATTTTAACTAATTCAAAGATATTTTGAAACCAATGGAATTATATAGTCCTCAAAAATGCTTGATTTGTGTTGTTGTTGTTGTAACAAATAAATTTGAATAGAAAAAGTATTTGTTCTTTTCAAGAGATGAGTTTCTGCTTTGATATTCTGAGACATAGTATGTAGTCATCATGCTTCTAGAACTTTATCTCCCAAAAATTCCATTGCTACATCTATAGAAAAGAGTGACAAAAATATTAAAATATTCCACTTATGCTATAAAAGTAAATAAATTCAAGCTTTTCCATTTATAAAACAGCAGTTGCTGCTGTTGATTGCCATCAAGTTGAGCACGACTCATAGTGACCCTATGAACAAAAGGCCTGAAGCCTTTCTATAACCATCATCATTTCTCAAAGTTCATAGAGTTTCCAGAGGCATGTTGTTTAGGAAGTGGATGCCACTCCTACTTCCAAGAAAAAACCAGTAGGCATGCCCATATTTCATATTGTAAATCAGATTCCTCTTTCCAAGCACAATATTTTCCCTGTCTTCAAAGTTTTGTAAAGATCCTCTTGACCTAACAATAATGGCTAAAGATCAGTGTCAACGGTTTCCTAGCAACAAATTAAATGTTAGTACTACTTGAAATTCACATGAGCCACTTCACTTCAGGAAACCCTTTATGAAGGTCAAGGTTAATTACTCCTTCAGAAATAACAGAGACCCACTAGTCACAGTCAAGAGATATTCTTGTAAATGTCAACAATTGAGTTATAGGAGATAGCTGTTTATAATCTTGTTTGCTGTATCTCTCCATATAGAATTCTTTTTATATAGCTACAGAGAAATCATGGCAGCTTTACTCAGGGCCACAATAACCATAAAATGCCAAACACTAATATAGCATTTGGTATAGGGCCAAGTGACTAATAGCTGTATTTTAGATCTCTGTATATAGGAAGCACTCCATGGGCTTAGAAAATACAAAGTAAAATCTAATTGGAATAAATGCTCCAAAAAAGAAAACAGAAAAGTGGTATCCCACAGCTAAAATCTATTGTCTACCACAACATCTTTTGTTAAGCCAAGCACTGACTTCCTTTTAGGGGTCTATCTTTGATCCATTCATTTCCAAATATCAATTCAACTGAAGAATAATGCATGGAAAATAACCTTCAATTTTCAGGGGTGCCCACACACAGTGAAAACCGAAGCTAAGTCTTTAGAATGGAAAAACAGTTTCTTGCTCTTCAGTGCTGAATCACTTCAAATGTTCCCAGAAATCCTTTATGTATCTGTCTACCCTCAACCAGATGGATTGACAAACTGATTGCAGAAGTGGGCTTGAGTGTGTCAGAGATTGTGAGGATGGCACAGGATAGGTCAAGGTTCTGATCTGTTTTCCACAGGGTTGGTATGTATCATACTTGAATCAATGGCATCTGAAACCAACAACTGCCCTTTTACAAACCATACATAAATACATATTCACTTTATTAGCTGTTCCTCTTCACCTATATTAAAGGCCACTCTTAATATCGGTCAAAAAATATCAAAGATGCAAGTCACCATAGTGTTATTGCAGCTGAATATCACTGAGAACGAATATGACATCACCATCAAAATCTCAGGGTCATTGAATCAGAACCAACTTATAGCTAATCCTGCAATGATTTTTTTTTAGAAGATTTTAATTGCACAGGAGAAGCTAATGGTTTTGAACAATGTATTTTGAGATGGAAGCACAACTTTTTTCTTACCCACTAAGCTATGTAAAATATTCACCTTAAAAATGTGGTAATACCCCTTTCAGTATTTTAATCAGAAAAATATTAAAAAGTAGTATTAGCCAGAAACTTAAACTAATTAATGACCACTTTAATACTTACAGAATTTTATAAAAGCAAAATTCCAGAGAAAGGTTTTTGAAATGAAAGACATTACCTTTTATTTCATGTTGACTTGCTTCTCGTCTTCTTTCTAGCTCTTTTCTGTCATAGTTTAACCTCTTTAAGCACATAATTCCATATTGTAAACTTGTCCTGTTATTTTTTTTTGTGTGTGTGAAAAGACAAAGACACAATGAATTTACTTCTGATAAATCATTCTTATATTTAAGCATACTTATCCCTTTGTGGTACTTAATGCAATAGATAAATATATTTAGAATTAAATCCTTTCAAGTTGAGAGGAAAGTAAAAAGCACAAGTATTCTGAGTACACAAATCAATACAATTGTAAGGATAATAAAATTTATTTTCATAAAAATTTATAGTCTGAAAATAATCATGAATTATTTTATTCCTTCATAGATCTAACTTCCCTTATCTTTAGACTAATAAATATTTTCTTTCAACAATAATCTTTTTAAGAATTTAGAATTCAGGGATCTGGTGGCATGGTACAGTATGTAACCAGTGGCTAGCCAAAAAGTTAATGGTTCAAATCCATCAGCCATGTGGGAAAGATCAGGCAGTATCTTCTCAGAAACATGTACAACTTTGGAAAACTCTGTGGATGGTCACCATGAGTCAGAATTTACTGGGGATCAGTGAGTTTGGATTCTACTATTCCATGATTTGAGAAGTTATGGTTGGAAGTTAAGCCACCAAGCCACTATAAAAGAGAAATATGTGGCAGGTTACTTGAGTAAAGATTTGCAGCTTTCAATACCTTACAAGGAAGCTCTACTTTGTCCTTCAAGGTCTCTAACATGTATAATACCCTCATTAGAAATAGGTTTGGTCCTTTGGTGTGTTAACCAAACTTGTTATTGTTGTGTACCATAGAGTCAGAACAGACCCATTGCTGACCCTCCAGCAGGTTTTCAGAGGCAGTTAATAACACAGGAGGACACTGCCATCCTTCTTCCAGGGAACAGCCAGTGGACTCAAATCACATGCCAACGTGATTGTAGTGCAGCTTCTTACCACTAAACTACCAGAGTTGCCGTTTAGGAAGGTGTGTGTGTGTGTAAGTGTATCTGCATCTATGTTGTTGTTGTTGTTATTGATTGCCTTTGAGTCCAGCATGACTCATAGTGACCCTATGAACAAAAGGCCTGAAGCCCTTTTACAACTATAGGCATTTATCAAAGTTTGTAGGGTTTCCGGAGGCATGTTATTTAAGAAGTGGATGCCACTCCTGCCCAGTCTATAGTCTTAGCAATTGTGTGATATGCATTGGAGAGCTGAACAGTGAATAGGGATGATAGAAAGAGAATTGATGCCTTTGAGCTGTGGTGCTGGAGAAGGGTGTTGAACATATCATGGACTGCTAGGGGAACAAACAGGTTTGTCCTGGAGAGGGTAAAGTTGGTATGCTCCTTGGAGGCAAGGATTCTGAAGCTTCATCTGACATACTCTGGGCATATTGCAAGGAGGTCCTTGGAGAGGGACATCATGTTTGGGACAGTGGAGGGACAGAACAGGAGAGAAAGACTGTCATAGATCAATTCAATGATTGGGGTAGTGGGAGTAGGTGTGTCAGAGACAGTGAGGTCAGCACAAGATAGAGCAGGGTTTACGAATCTTGTACATAGGGTCACTATGAGTTGCAAGTGACTTGAAGGCACATAACAACAAACAGAATTGGTGGCATGGTACGGAGCTCTGATGACCTAGTGGCAAGAAGCTGCACGGCAATACTGAAGGCACTTGGTTTGAGAGGATTATAGGTTGTTATATGGCAATCATATTAAAACATGCTCAACAAACAATTAATTGCCATTGAGTTGCAACTGACACATAGTTGATTCACAGGCAGATCTCAAAGGAGGTAAATTGAATTGATGCCCATAGTATGTGAGATGAAGTTTCCTCATCTTCACCTTTAAAATGCACCCAAGTTGTACTTTCTCTAAGATATATCTGTCTGCCAAATGGGCACTACTAATTTATTCTTCTGCACTACCAAGATTAAAGACATCAGTTTTTCTTTATCCACCCTTATTCACTGTCCAACTTTCAGATGCATAACAAGTAATTAAAAAGACCATAGCTTGAAGCAGACACACTTTAGTCTTTAAACTGCCATCATTTTTTGCTATCATTTCAGAAAGGTTCTTGATGGCAAGTTTTCCCAATGCACCATGTCTTAATTTCTTAATGTTGGTGCCAAGGGGGGGTTGATTGTGGATTCAAGCAAGATGAAATAAGTAACAAGTTCAATCTTTTTTCCATCTATCATGATGTTACATATTGGTCCAGTGGTGAGGATTTTTGTTTTCTTAATGATAAGATGCAATCCATATTGATAATTATAGTGTCTGATTTTCTTCACTTCACAGTAAGGTCCATAAATTAGTTTCATATTCACTATTGTTATAAGTTGGTTTTCATGCAAAGGCAATAAGTTGAATTTGACATTTGATTCAATGGGCCCAATAACTGAATGGATGAAGTGTGTACATTCACAAGTGCAATAGTATACAGCATTAAGGAACTACCAATTCATAAAATACTATACAACCTGCTCGATGGTAAAAGACATCATTTTGAATTTAAAAACTCAGTCAAAAGAGAACAAATAACATGTAAGACTATTACTGTGTAAATAATAAGATAACTAGGATGGAAAGAGGAGAATCAAGAAATGAGGAATAAAATTTATAGTCAATGAATGCTATAAAGAATCAAGAAAAGGGAAAATCAACCTGAGAATTGGCAAAAGGACAGTATGGGTACTGAAATTAGCAAATAGGAACAAGATAACTATAACTGTTCAAAAAGAGAAGTAGAAGGAGAGGAAGGAGGAGGGAGAAGAGGGAAGGGTTACTGAATCAGTGGTGAGATGAAGAAAAAGGCAAGGAGTAATGGCAATTTGATGAGACAGGGTGAAAAAAGGCATTGGCCAATTGTTGTTATTGTTTCATTCCATAGATTCAAATATCACTC